AGAAAGTATTTAGAGTGAAACAAGAGATCACAACCCTATCTATTCCGAATCTTGTTTCTCCTCCGTTACCCATGTACTTATAGTGACAAGAGCCACGGGGCATATCCTATGTGCCCTCAGCTTTGCACCTTCGCAGCACAGAGCCTGGTGAGTGGGCACAGGCGATAGGAGTAGTTCTGGAAGCCACTCCTACACCAGGATGGCTGGGCGCCCCTAACTGGATGTGGAAGGACTGGTGCCACAGTAACATATCCCACAAAAATGTCCATCTTGGGTCTTTCCAACTCACCTTCTCCATAACTGGAACCCCCAAATGCCCACAGCCATTCCAACACAGTGGGGCGGAGGGAATGAGACGGAGGGAAAGCAGAATGGAAGGTGACATTGGTCTTTGCCTTTTACAGTTAAAAATACCTTCAATTTGCAAATATTATAGAAGCACATGGCCATGTGGAGGTGTTGCTAGGCACTTCCAGAGGCCTGTGTAAGTGAGGGATCCTGAAGCCGAAATTTCTTTGGCTTCAAGGCGAATTGGTTTCTGAAATTCCAATGTTTGATCCCAAATCTCGGATGGACTCTCCACCTGCCTAGAAATCCTGTTCTCCTAGCTTAGGTTTGTTTTCCTCCTCTCCAAAATGAACATTTCACCCTTTCTCTTCAAACAACCTGTAGCTTTCTCCCCTCCAGAGATGAGCTTGATTGATTTTTCTTTGAGAAAGTAACTTGCCTCATCCTTCCCTCTCCCCAAGTGACCCAAGCCCTCTGTCTCCCCTACCAGCTGAGGCTGACTTCTCTCCCTGCCACTGGAGTCTACCTATCTCGCCCAGAACTTGGTTATTTCCATCATCCTCAAACCCTCTCTAGCAAACCTCATCTACCTGCCACACATTGTTATGCTCGCCATTCACAGCAAAACTTGTCAATGTCCGCTTTCTGTATGCCTTCACTTCCCACTCTTACCTCACCCCCCTCACTGGGACTGCACAGCCACTCTCACCCCAGGCCATTTGTGCTAAACCAGATGATTGCTTCTTCCTCAATAGCTGAGCTAGAGTTGACTGCTCCCTCCTTCTATGCTCTCTTTTCTTGGTTTGCTAGACACCCCACTATCTCTCTGATCACCTTTGACAATTCTCCCTCCTCAACTTGACCTCAATTGCTCCTTGCTAAGCCTATTCTCTCTCCACATTCTCTCCCTAGACACTCTGATCTCATCACCTTAAAAACCATCCAGTGACTCCCCTGTTTCTACCCTCCAGCTCTGACCCCCACACTTGTGTATCCTTGGCTTACCTATATCCTCCACTTGAGTGTCTAAAGGGATCTCAACTAACCTGAGAATAAAGTAAAATGCTTCTTTTCTCTCCCCAAACCTTTTCTGTCCCTCCCCCTTCCCATCTCAATAAAAGGCACCACAACCAAAAACCTAGGCGTTCACGTGCTCTCTCCACTGCCACCATCTCTGGACAAGCCACAATCAGATCCTGCCTCCGTGACTGCTCTGGCAACCCAGATGGTATCTCTGCTTCCATCACACAGCAGACAAAGCGATCTTTTCACACAAAGGTCAGTGAATATAACTTTCCTATTAAAACTCTCGCATTGCACTCAGACGAAAATCCAAACTCCTCCCGGAGCCTCTAAGGCCCGTGTGATGGGCCGTTCCTTCCATTTTTGCAGCCCCAAGCTCTCCCTCCTGGAGACAACGCCCTCTTTCTCCAGCTCCCACCAGCAAGCCCCTTTCCTGCCCCAGAGCCTTTGCACTTGCTGGTTTGTTTGCTTTTTTGCAGGTCCCATGGCCGGCTGAGCTGAGCTCAGATGTCACCTCCTGCTAGCGGCCGCCTCCGAACACCCAGACTGAAAGGAGCACTTCCCTCATCTCAGGTCATTGCCACATCCGAGTGTCCCCCGCCCGCCCCCAGCCTCATAACATCTGAATTTATATTATTTTCTGCTTTCTTAGTTCTTTTCTGTCTCCCCTGCCCACGGTCATGCACTAAGTCTCAGGGGAGACCAGATTCAAAATGTGCCCTCCAAGTCTCACTGCAGCCCCGCAGGAGGCACAGGCTGTGCGCACAGACACACAGACGCACGGATTGTGTACAAGGTCCTTCTGGGGCCGCTGTCCCACCTGAGAACCGAGAAGAGAGCATTCGCACTCGCTGACACCATCCAGAGACAAGAAAGACCCAGAGGAAACAGACGTGGGAGGGAGACAGGGGACAGAGACCAGGCCCAGGGCGGCTCCAGAGGAAGGACCGAGGCAGACCCGGCCGGGACCCCGCTCAGCACCCGCGCGGGCAGCCGCCGGGGCAGATCCCGGAGGAGGCCGCGGAGGGGGCCGAACCCGCCGGAAACTGCCACCTGCGCGGCCGGTGCCGGCACCAGCCGCCCCCTCCCCCCCCCTCCCCCGGCTTCAGGGCGGCCGGCAGCTGGCGGGGCGCGGGCCCCCCGCCGCGGCGGCGCGTGCGGGATCAAAGCGGCCGGGAGGGGCGGGCGGAGGGGCAGGAACCGGAGGTGTGAGCGAGCTTCCCGGGGCGGCCAGGAGCGTGGGAGCGCGGAGCGCGGACCGGGGCCGAGACCCGGGAGAGAACGAGAGATCCCAGAGACCCCGAGAGGCAGGCGCGGAGAGAGACGGGAAAGATGGAGAGACCCGGAGTCAAAACCGCAGAGACAACTAACCACCCGGAGAGGTGGGTGCGAAAGTTGCTAAGAGACCCGGGAAGAACGTGACAGAGACGGAGACAGAGAGCCAAGAGGTGCGCAGCACAGAGAGGCTGCCAGACACCAAGGGCCGAGACCCTGGGACTTGGGAAAAGAAAGGGCGCTTCGGAGAGAACGGGAGGTAAGACAGGGAGAGGAACGAGGGGAGTGCCGGAAAGAAGAGCGGGGGAACGAGGTAGAGCGTACGGGGCTGGGAGACCTCGCCCCTCCCCCGCGGAGGGCCCAGGGGACCCCCGGGGCAGGGATCCGGGCGCGACGCCCTTTCTCAGGGTCCCGCCCGGGAGGCGCGGGGGCTGGGGCGCAGGGAGTACTGGGCCAGGCAGCAGGACCCCCTGCTTGGGAGGATGGACTTGTGAGAAGTTATGGAATCAAGATCTCCATCCAGAGCCTCAAGCTCTTCGGTAGAGTAAAAAAGTAATATATGAATATCTGGCGGAAATGTTAATAAAAGATGCTTCTCAGAGAAATATCAAACTTCTTTCAGGTGTGTGGTTTTTTGTGGGGCGGAAAAAAGGAAGTGTTGCATTGGCCGGGAATCGAACCCGGGCCTCCCGCGTGGCAGGCGAGAATTCTACCACTGAACCACCAATGCGCGCTCTGGTTGGCTTGCGCCAGAGCTTATAAGAGGTTCACATAGCGGTGAGCAGGCGGATCGTGCCTGCAAGGGACCCAGGGAAAGAGTGGCTCTGAATAGTTCGTGTGGGTGGAGCAACCCAGCCATCCTTCCTCTCTCCCGGATACAACCACTGGGCCATAAAGTCGCCCCATATGGCCAGGGGCGGCCCCACACCCGGGTGCGAACAGCCAGGGGCCCCCAAACCTCGCGTGCAGGTGAGAAAAACTCAGCCTGAGCCCAGGTTCCCAAGGAGGGGGGCCGCGGGGGCTACTGGGGCCACACATCTGCCTTCCCATTTGGCCCAGGTAGGGGGAGGTGGGATTGCTGGGGGCCCTAAACCCAAATGGGAGCGCCCTCCCCAAGGTCTGTGTCCCCTGCTTTGGCAGGGTAGGCTCCGTGAAAAATATCAGGTTGTGAAGGGTCCCTGGGAGGGCTAGGCGGATTCCCATCCGTTTTCTACTCCGCAACTATCTTCCGACTTGGTCTCCAACCTTGTCTTGACGTCTCCTCGTCGCTAGCACTCTTGCTGTCCTGTTAAACCTCTGAGTCTACCTTATGGGTCATTTTGCCCTGAAGTAGCATCATTCTGCAAAGGGTCATGGTCTTGGTTTGGGGTGGGTGTAGATCCCTTTTTTTTTTTTTTTTGTATCCCTTTCTTGTCCCTTTAAGAAAACTGCCTGCTCCCTGCTCCCCTGTAATTAGTTACCAGGAGGTTCCTGGGAGCCAGCTCACTTGTGTCAGGTGTTCTGGCAGCCACTCGCCCGAATGGCCCCCATTTTTGAATCAAATCCATTTATTACGGAAATATCTCTCCACCTCCTGCCCGTGCTTTGCTACCTTTTCATTGAGGTTCCCCTCGCCCCGGTCCAGACATCCTCAGGATGATCTTCTTCCCGATTACCTACTTTACTTGGATTCTATATTAGCTACTTGATAACACGCCGTGGTTTTCTCCCCCCGCTAGGTCCCGCAGGGACGAGCTGAACCTCTGGTACAGACCTCAGCACAGATGGCCCAGTGCGCACAGCGCGGGGCACCGTCGCCCCTCGGACTCTGTGCCACCCGGTCCCCTCCCCGCTGGGGAATTAATATGACTGCCTTCGGCCTAACAGCTTTTCTCCCCGCTCCAGGCAGAACCCCAGTTGAATTAGACAGATCCACCTCTCACACTTTAGGTCTCTTCCTATTTTAAATACGTAGGTTACTTTTGGGTGGAGATGTATAAGATCCAGGCTAAAGGCCGAGGGTGCTAACTGCTTTTTCACTGTCAGTGAGGGTACAGTGACCGCCGAAACAAGCTGCGATTCTATTCTGGTGGCAAATTCTTTATTATTTTTTTTTCTAGTGGCAAATTCTGACCCCAAATCACCTGAACTCTCTCCCCCCTAATAACCTCCTCCCTTCAGCCGGGACCCGCCTTCTTATACAGCCTTATGGCCCCTAAAACAGCTGGTGCTCCATTGACCCCTCATTTCCCACACTCCTAGGCCCGTTCCTCTCCGCCCCTCCCCGGGCGCCCCGCCCCTTTCCGGGAGCCTCGTGCCGGGGGTCGCGCCGGGAGGGGCCCAGGTCCTCCCTGTCCCCCCTACCCCCCCGGACCCTGAGGGATATAAGGCGCAACGCGAGCGGGGACTCGTCCACACCAGGGTCCGGAGGAGCGATGGTCACCCGGGATCGAGCGGAGAACAGGGACGGCGCCAAGGTGAGCGGCGGGAGGAGGGAGCGGAGACCCGGGTCCGGCCGGTCGGCGCCCTGAGAGCGGGGCCGGGAGGGAGGCTGCGGACGCGGGCTGGACGGGGAGGTGTGCAGAGACCCGGAGCCCGGAGCTGGGGAGGAGGCTGCAAAGCCTGAAGAGGGGCAGGGGCAGGGCAGGATCCGCGGGTGTGTGTGTGTGGGGGGGGCGGCAGGGCAGAAGCCTGGGGTTTGGGTAGCGGGGGTGGCAGCTGGCGGCCTCGGGGACGTGGGAGGAGCTGGTGTTGGAGGGAAACAGCCGAGAGGGGCGCGGGGCGCAGGGAGCGGGGCGGGAATAAAGGGGAGACACGCACTGGCCCCGCGGGCACCGGCTCCCGAGGCCGGAGCCCGGGCGGAGGACGTGAGCGCCGGCCCAGAGCGGTGACCGCGCCGCGGGTCAGAGGGAGCCGAGGAGGCGCGGTCCGGTGGGTGTCCCCCTTTCCACACTCAGGGCCGCCGCTCTGAGTCCGGCACCGTGTGGCCACGTGTCTGGGCGCAGAGAGGTCTCTCCACTGAGGCAGAGAGAGACGGCGCGGTGCGGAGGAGTAGAGAGAACAGAGGAGGAGAGACACAGGGAGGGGAGGAGGGGGGACAAGACGGGGGAGCGGAGAGGCACCCCATGGGCCGGGCCCCCGCTCTCAGGGGTCTCGGCGGGAGGGGGAGGCCGGGCTGCCCCAGCGGCGGGACCCCCGCGCCGCGCGGCCGCGCTGAGTCCTGGTCCGGTCCTCCCGCTCTCCCTTCCCGCCGCCCCAGATGCTGAAGCCGCTGGTGGAGAAGCGGCGCCGGGATCGCATCAACCGCAGCCTGGAGGAGCTGAGGCTGCTGCTGCTGGAACAGACCCGGGACCAGGTCAGTGCTCCCGGAACCCCCCGCGCCCCGTCCTCGCGCCCCAGGGCTTCCCGCTGGGGTGGGGACACTGCTGGCTGCACTGGCGACCCCGGTCCCGAGGCCTCCTTACCTGAGTCCCGCTCTTGGACTCCCACCCCAGACCCCTTCTCGCTCCCAGAACGCGACCTTCGTGGCCACCTCTCGGGTCTGTAAGTTTCACACCTCGCTCTGCTCATTTCCCTCCAGGGCGGGTCTGCTTCCACCTCCGGGTCTGCAAACTCCCCCTCTTCCTCCCCTCCCTCCCCGCAGCCTGCAGGGCGGTGATGCCGCTCACTGGGCTGGCGGCTTTTAATGCCCCCTCCGCGCGGTGCGGGGTCGGTGTCACGCCCTCGGGCTGGACGGTTCCATCTCCGGGCGGGTGAGGACCGCGCTCGGTCACCTCCACTCCGCATCCCGGAGCGCACACGCGACCCGGGGGCAGCCCCAGCCCCCGCCCCCCCTCCTCTCTTCCCCCTGCCACTTTCCCCTCTCTCCCCGCCCCCCTGTCTGCGCCCTCCCCTCCCGTCTGTAGAACCTCCGGAACCCGAAGCTGGAGAAGGCGGAGATTCTGGAGTTCGCCGTGGGCTACTTGAGGGAGCGCAGCCGGGTGGAGCCCCCGGGTACAGCGCGGGGTGGGCAGCGGCGGGAGGGGGGTCCCCGGGGCCCGGGCCGGGGCCGGCGGGGCGGGCTCTGCCGCGGACGGTGGGCTTGGGGGGCGGCAGGCTCTGCTCCGAGGCGAGGTTAATAACGCCCGCGGTGTCTGTCTCTGTGTCTCCCTCGCTTTCTCTCTGTCCGTGCGTTTGGTTTCCTGTCCCTGCGCGCCTGTCCGGCCTCGGTCCCTCCGCGCCCCGCCCCTGCCCCCCGCCGGGCCCCTGCCCTGACCGCCCGTCCTCCCGTCGGCCGCGCCCGCCCCGCGGCTCCAGGGGTCCCCCGGTTCCCAGCCCAGGACGCCGAGGCGCTTGCCAGCTGCTACCTGTCCGGCTTCCGAGAGTGCCTGCTCCGCCTGGCGGCCTTCGCCAACGACGCCAGCCCGGCCGCCCGCGCCCAGCTCTTCTCCGCGCTGCACGGCTACCTGCGCCCCAAGCCGCCCCGCCCGGAACCCCGCGATCCGAGGCCCCACGCCCCGCGCCCGCCGCTGGACCCCGCCGCCCCGGCGCCCGGCCCCGCGCTGCACCCGCTCCCCCCCGTGCACCCGGGCTCCCCCAGCCCCGGGTGCGCCTGGTCCCCGTCCCCCTGCTCCCCCCACGCCGGGGACCCCGGCGAGCCGGCACCCCTCACCGGACTGCTGCCGCCGCGTCCGCCTCCTCACAGACAAGACGGGGCGCCCAAGGCCCCGCCGCCCCCGCCGCCCGCTTTCTGGAGACCTTGGCCCTAAGTTTTGGGGGGCGGGGGCGGGGCTGGGGGGAGGGTAGAGACTCCAGCCTGAGGGCAGCAGAGGGATCCGGGCGTCGGGGCGAGGAGGTGTTGGGGAGGGCGGCGGGGCGCGCGGGCGCAGCGCGCGGGTGAGATGTGGTCTATATTAGAGTATCTATATAAATATATATTTTCCTGGTTCCTGTCCCTTTCCCCGGCTCCCCCCTTGCGTCTAGGATTGTACCCTCTCTGTCCCAGCCCAGCCCCAACCCCTTCTCGAGTCCCTAGTGCATGGAATAAAATGGTTATTAAATCCCCGTGTGTCCCAAAGCCAGGGGCCTGCCTTTATCTCGGCGTCCACGCCTACTTTCCCTTCCCTTCTGTCTCCCGTCCCCCCAGTCCTGCTCTCCGAGGCCCAAGCCCCAGGGCAGACAGGTAAGTAAAGAAGAGAGCAGAGCAGAGACCGACAGCGGAGCTGAAAGGAGGAAAAGAGTTAGGATAGGGGGAGAAGGGACGGGAACCTTTAGCGGGGGTAAAAAAGAAAAAGAAAAAGAAAAAAAAGAAAGGAAAAAAAAACAGAAAAGGAAAAAAAAAAAGTTGAAATAAAATCGACTCTGGTGGGATTCGAACCCACAACCTTTGAATCGCTCTTTCGTCACTAGAAGTCCAATGCGCTATCCATTGCGCCACAGAGCCCGCTAACCGGCGGCGGCGTCTGACGGCATACGGATGCTGGATGGGGGAGGGGGAGACGGAGGGGCATACCAAGAGCTCGCGGGTAGGACCGCAGAGGCCCCCCTGGGAGAGGTAGCGGGCGCAAAGCAGGTGAGCCAGGTGGGAGTGCGGGAGCACGTGGGTGGAAGAAACAGGGAGAGAGAGCAACAGAATATGAGTGAGGGGACGAGCACAGAGCTCCGGCTGCCTGCTTGGGGGATGCTTCCAGCTCAGGCGCACCCCACTCCCAGATGTGGCCCCACCCATCAAAATAAACTTATTTCGTTGTAAATTTCGGTGTGTCTTTGTTTTCTTTGGCCTGTCTGCTGCTCTGCAGTTCTGAATCTAGATGGTTTCCAAAGAAGACCAGCCAATTTAATACAACCATTTCTAGCTTACTTTTCTATAGTCTCTTAGGAGGACTGTGGGATAACAGTTACTTCACGCAGGTAGCGTGGCCGAGCGGTCTAAGGCGCTGGATTTAGGCTCCAGTCTCTCCGGAGGCGTGGGTTCGAATCCCACCGCTGCCAAATTAAGACTTTTTTCCTCCTGGTTTCGGCTGGTTCGTACATCCTGAAACAATTCATGCCCTTGTGGGATCTCCCTCAATTTTATGAGGACTCCTGATAGAGGTCTCACCACTGTCATCCCTCTCTGGTATTCCAGACATACCCTACCTAAATCTGCATCCCAGCCCCAAACCAAGACCTGATGGAAACTGCCAAAGTAACCTTCTTTTCTTAGTAACTTACTGATCTGCCCATTAACATGTTCTCAAATAACATGCTTACCTCTCAAAATTAGCGCAACACGTGTTCATATACATGTACGATTGACTGTTTTCCTCAGAGCGTGCTGGGTTTCAATTGCCCAGTGTGAAAGCTCAAAGAACAAAATTGTAGTTTTTCTTCTTAAATCCTTTTCATAAAAGAGCCTCATATATAAAACAATACATAATAGAACATATTTGACAATTGTGAAAAACAAAGCTTAAGGTTCCACCGAGATTTGAACTCGGATCGCTGGATTCAGAGTCCAGAGTGCTAACCATTACACCATGGAACCAACTGGCACGAAGGCCTTCTGAATATTAATACAATTGTAAACTCTGTTCTACTTATTGCTCTGTACTCGTCAGAGAAAACAAAACAACATAAAAACAATTGTTGGATAAAGTAGACGCCGTTATCAAGCATCTGAAATATGAATTGAGATGTACTGTAAGTGTAATATAGAAATCGTCCATTGAAGCCTTAGTACAGAAGTTATAATTTTATTAACATTAAAATATTGATTACATCTTTAAAATGCTCAGATTTTGGATATTTGGGGTTAAATAAAATTTGCTATTAAAATTAATTTCAACTGTTGCTTTTTACTTTTTTAAAGAAAATAACAGATTTTATTTCATAGAGCAGTTTTAGGTTTACAGAAAAATTGAACAGAATGTACCGAGAGCTACCATGTACTCCTGTTACCACTTCAGTTTCTTTTTCCATTATTATTATTATTTTACTTTTAATTTTATTAAAGTATAATTGACATACAAAAAACTGCACACGCTTAATGTATATACATCTTGATTATACTTTTTACTCTTTTTAATGTGGCTACCAGAAAATTTAAGATAGCATATATAACTCGTATATGTTCTACTCTAAAGCATGCCTATTTTCCTTCCCATTACTCGTTCTATCTTCTGAAAACTAAAACTGGCGTACTTAATACCAATTCCTTTTAAAACTAATTAAAGGTATTTTTGTTATTCTTTTCCTTTGTTTTGTTTGAAGGAATACAAATATTAATTGTACTTAAAAGTGAATATTGCTATTTAAGTAGGAAAAAAGTGAGACGCCCGAACAGGGACTTGAACCCTGGACCCTCAGATTAAAAGTCTGATGCTCTACCGACTGAGCTATCCGGGCTCTGCAGGTTCTAGTGCTCTGATATCCTTAAGAGCAATAGACTTGTAAAATTCCACGCTTGCAAAACCGACGGGAAATTGTATGCAAGAGCTCAGAGGATTCCAGAGCAGACCCTAAGGAAGCTGGAGCGGCGGGCAACTGCCGATCGCGCTTCTTACCGGCCTCCCTCGAGTAGTTTCCGCCGTTCGGTTAGCGAGGGCTGGAGCCGCGGCGGCTGGGGTAGCGCGGTGCCGGGACTGGCCGCGCGGGGCCGCTGCCGGCTGCGGGCTTTCCTCGCGGGGAGGTTTCCCCGGGGTATGAATGACCTAAATCTTAGGCACTCGGGCACCCCCGCTCCCGCCCACCGGCCCGAAGGTCCAGGGCGGGCCCGAATGCCACATGGGACCTTCAGAATCCGTGCACCGGGAGTCCACTTCGGTACCCTGACGAGCTCCATTCCAGGGAGAGATTGAGATCTGGCGTGCCAAAGACAGGGGTCACCCGGGGCCGGGCGTGGGGCGGCGCTGCGGAGTGCGGGGTGACAGGGGAGCTGCCTCTGACCCGCGCGCAGGGTGCAGGAATGCGCGTGAGGCTCACCTGCGTGTGGCTGCAGTCACGTGTGATCTACGGCGGAGTGTGTCTCACTCCGGTACCGTGATTCACGGGGATGATTCACAACTAGGAATGTGGGTGCTTCGTTCCCGGTTGTGGCTGAGAGATGGGGAAAAGGTCTTGGGGAGGGGGATTTGGGAGAGGCCGGGCGGACAGGAGCCCCCAGAGCATCTGGAGGGCCCCTGACCAGGAGGAGGGCAATGTCCCAATCAGACAGGCGTCACCTACTCGCTGCCTCTTTCCGGGCATCTGGTCCCTCCCTTCCCAATGAGGCTGGGGCTCCTGATATCCATCTGGGTGAGCCCTATCCTGCCAGCCAGAGAGACCGGCTGCGCCAGAGGCCAGCAAACAACTATTAGCAGACAGGTGTGGGCGGGGAGAGGGAGCCGGCATCGAGCAGAGGCCCCGGCAGAGGTCGGGAGCTTCGGGACAGAGAAAACATCTCAGAGGGAGTTGGGCCTTTCCTCCAAGGCCTTTCCCCCCGCCCCCCAGACCTCCCGCCAGCGGCTCAGCGCCATAGCAGTCCCGTCCTGCGCCGCCTGCTGCTCGCTCGCCTCCAGGCCGGCTGCTGCTGGGGCTCACCTTGCCGGGGGGCATCCCTCCTCCTTCCCGCCCATCATGGCCGTGTACCGCGTGTGTGTGACCACTGGTGCCTACCTGGGGGCAGGCACCCTGGACAGCATCTCCGTCACTCTGGTGGGCACGTGCGGTGAGAGCCCCAAGCAGCCGCTGGATCACATGGGCAGGGACTTTACCCCCGGATCGGTGAGTACGGAGGAGAGAGGGAGGAGCACCCCTGGGGGGCAGAGCCAGCAGGGGACCCTGAAGGAGGGGACCGTCCCTTCGGGGCTCATCACATCCTGCAGAACTCTGGCTGCTGGCTCTGAGCTCCTCCCCATCCCTGTTGTGTCTGGCTCCTGTCTTTCCCCGGGAGAATAAACCCAGACAGGACTGCGAAGGGGTCCTGGGCAGGGGAGTCAGCATTCCAATGGCTTTGCAGCTTCTCCTCTCATAACTGAGGGTGGGCTTTGGGCAAGTCTCTTGAACACCCGGGGTCTGGGTTTCTTCTCTGGAGGGCACCCACCTTCTCCGCCAGGCCCCAGGATTGCTGGGGGGTGGGTCTTAGGGGGAAGCTGGCCACCAAAGGGGCCAGTGAAGAGCAGAACCTGCCCTGCCTGTGGCAGCGGTGGTGGCTTCTGCCCGGAGAAGGGCTGCTTTTTTTCTAATCCATACAAAGCCGTCTCATGGGCTAGCGGCAGCTCAGGTTTGGATGCCAGGACAGGTGCACGTGTAGAGGCACCTTGCAAGGTGCAAGGACAGCTCTGGCAGGGCCTCGCCTCTCACCTGCCTCCTCTCTTGGCCCCCTCAGGTGCAGAAGTACAAAGTGCGCTGCCCCGCAGAGCTGGGGGAGCTCTTGCTGCTGCGTCTGCACAAGGAGCGCTATGCTTTTTTCCGCAAGGACTCCTGGTACTGCAGCCACGTCCGCGTCACCGCCCCCGATGGCACCCTCGTCCCCTTCCCCTGCTACCAGTGGATCGAGGGCTTCTGCACCCTGGAGCTGCGACCAGGCACAGGTGGGCCGGAGGCGGGGGCTGGCCTTGGGCCGCAGAACACAGCTTTTGGGTCTCCCAGAGCCCAGGGAATAGGGAATAGGGTTGGGGTTATGTAACCAGTTCAGGGCTCCCAAGTGGATGCTTTCTGAGAAAAAGTGAGCCTCTACAGCCCTGCAATGCAGGGGCTTCTTGGACAGGATCTACCGCTCTGGAGACAGACAGAGGCTAGACCCACACTGTGTGCACTCACACCACCAGACAGACACAGACACAGACACACAGACACACACAGATGGCAATTCCTCTGGAACCCCAAAAGGAGCTAACCCTCAAGCTGAGTAGTTGGATTTCAATGGGAGGAGAAGCTCCGAGTGTGGAGGTGACAAGGCCCTGTCCACCACTAGTGGCTTCTCCAGTGTGGCCGACGTCCCCATGGGTTGCTGTTAGGATTTCTTCTTGAATTTGGGTAGCCTTTCAAGAATGCTGGGCTCTAACTCCGTCAGCCTCTGACCCCCCGACATCTCCTGAGCTGTCTGACCTAGAAAAGCACCACTAAGGCTAGTCCAAAGTGTGAGTGAGTCTTAGGGATGAGAGATGCTGTTGTAGGTCAAGGTCAAATAAGTGAACTTGACCCCTCAGCCCGTAGTGAATTCTCCATAGACGTCACTTCGAACCCCATTATCATCATAGCGATCGACCCATCACGTTACAAAATGTATGTGCTCATCTCATTTATCCAACGCATGCTGGGTGCTAGGCACCATGCCAGATGCTGGGAATAAAAACGAATACAATGTGGTTTCTGCTTAGAAAGAGTCTATAGTTTGGGGAAGGAAACAAACATGCAATCAATAAGGAAGGTTGTTAGGATTTGGGGGCGAGGTTTCCTGAATCCCCTGTGCTGGTGACACACAAAGAACATGGGGTGTCCACATTACAGAGGGGCTGGGTGTAAGGGTTAGACAAGCTTTGATGGAGAAGTTGTTGTTTAAAAATGACTGAAACGATGAGTAATTTTCATTCCCCACAGCGAGAACTATTTGTCACGACTCCCTTCCCCTCCTCCTGGACCACAGGAAAAGGGAACTCCAGGCCCGACAAGAATGCTACCGGTGAGGGTGACCAAACTCCACTTCTTCCCCGTCTTCATTCTGACTGCAGGCTTAATCACACTGTTACTAATTCTGACCTCAGTCCCAGCCTTGGGGCCCAACTCCAATCAGGACCATTATTTAAACCTGATATTGCCCTGGAGTCCAGACCCAGAAGGCCAGGAGCAATCATCGTTCCAATACCATCATGGAATCCACCTCGGCCCTTGATGGGACTGTGGTATTGACAAATCTCAGTCTATCCTCAATCTCACACCCAAACTGGCCATGATCTTAATCTCAACAGAAACCTGACCCTAACCCAGCCTGGACATTCGTGTCATCTTCAAATGCTACCCTGATCTAAAGCCCGGTGCCTTGGGAAGAAAAATCCCAATTCTTTGTCACTTACCCGGGAAGTGGGAGTTCTGGGGAGTTTTCATTCTAGGCATGCCTTTAAAAGCTAAAGTTTCTGTGTTCGCCAAGTTTGACTCGCCGTCTCTAACCTCTTTCTCCCGGAAGCTGGAAGGTCTTTGCTCCTGGCTTCCCAGGCATGGTGGACGTCAGCAGCTTTGAGCAGATGGAGTCAGACAAGAAGTTTACCTTGACCAGGACAACAACTCGTGCAAACCAGGACGACAGGTGAGGCAGGACCCAGGCATGGGAAGAAGGTGGAGGGGGATGAAGTGAAGGGTCTGTTGAGAGGATGGCCCCAGACAGCCTGGAAAGAGAAGTTGTGAGCTACAATGAGGGCAATTTAATTCAAGTGCCCGGAGCAGCGGAGGCAGGGGTGGCCCCGGGACATGGCAGAGAGGAGGAAGTGGCTTCAGGCCTGATGGGAGAGGGCAGGGAAGGAGCCCAGTGTGAGGGGAGGCCTGGGACTCCAGTCTGGGGGAAGAGAGAGAGGAGGAATTAGAGAAGTGGGCTGTAGGCCTTACTGACGGTTCTCTGTTCTCCTCCCCCACCTTCTCCTGTTCCCCAGCAGTGGGAATCGGTACCTGCCTGGCTTCCCCATGAAGATTGACATCCCATCCCTGCTGCACATGGAGCCCAATATCAGATACTCAGCCACCAAGACGGCCTCGCTGATCTTCAATGCCCTCCCTGCGTGAGGCACCTGCCCTCCTGCTCACTCTTCCGTCCGCCTCTGCCCCTGGATGCACAGCCACATCTCAGCCTCACTGCCCCTTCTCCCTGCCCGGCTCCCTCTCCTTGTCCCCTGCCTCCCCTCTCCCTGCCCTGGGTGCCCCTTTTATGGCCCCAGCCTCTTCTCTCTCTGTCCCTCAGGCTCCGCTCTCTCCTTAGACTCCTCTGTTCTCTGTATCCCCATAGGCTCCCCTTTGCTCCTTAGTCACCCATTCTTTTAACTAATTCAATTAACTGTGCACGGCATGGCTTCCAGGCACTGCTGGGACCTTGTTGAGTAGTAAGAGAGATCTGGCTCTTAAGCTTTCAGAAAGTGGTCAGACCAGGTCAGTTTCAACTCCCAGAACCAGTGCTTTCTGGCTGTGTGAACTTGATTTTCATTTAGCCTCTAAATGGTTTCCTCCTTTATAAAAGGACAATACTATTCACACCTACCTTATGGGTTTGGGAGAAAATGTAAGGAAGTACCACCCAGCACAAAATAATGTCTCCATAGACGCTGGTAGTGTTAGGGTATAATCTTGGCCGGGAGGAGCTCAGTGTCATTAGGGAACAGAGTTCACTAGCCGTTGAGCAGCGCGAGGCCACAGTGGACGCTGTAAGTGACGTGGCTGGAGGGGGCACAGGGGACCCTGTGTGTCCAGAGGAGGAGAGGCTGGGTGGGTGGGCAGGGAGTGGCTCTGGAGCGGCAGGTGGATGGAAGCTGGCTTTGAGCCAGGGAGACAGGGAGAGGGGAGGGGTTCTGGGCAAACCTGGGCAGGTTTGGCAGGAGAGAGAGGCCCAGCGGAGGCCACAATAAGCGCCTCGAGTCCAGGCCTCGGAGCCAGCAGGATGCTTCTGGAGAAGGACTGGCGGGGGGTGAGCAGGTCTGAGGTGGATTGGGGCGGGCAGGCCGCACAGACGTCTCAGGCTTCAGGGCTCAGGACAAGGGCCACTAAGAGGCCCCGACAGGGTACCTCTGCCAGGGACCAGAGGAGCATTCGGGAAGGTAGCGGCAGCTGAGTTGCTCCCCAAATGGATATGTGGGTCTAGGCAGGGCATGTCCCAGGAGACCACCAGGACAGCTGGCGTGAGAAGAGGCTTGAGGGAAGGGGGAGCTGGCAGTTGGGGGCTAGCTGCTCGTGGAGAGGAGGGTCAGTAGCCAGGCCTTTGGTGTGGGGTCCCTGCAGGGAGCTATGGGAAAGGCCTGTGGCAGCCCTTGGAAAGAGGCAGGCCTTTTCTCTCTCCTTTACACCTCCTCCCACCCAGTTTTCCCCATCTCCTGGGCCTGGCTAGGCAGGCACTGAGCAAGTACATGTAGAAGGAGGAGTGAATGGCGTTTGAACACACAGGAAGTTGTCCCGGGCTTGTCAGGTCACTATTGCCCCCTACCCCCTGCTGCCTTCAGTGACCCGCACCGGCGTCCTTATTGGCCAGTTGCCACAAACCTGCCTGATCTGTGTTGTGGTCCCTTCTTCTGGCCCTGGCCCGGGTAGGGAGTGATTGTTGTGAACCGGGTATGCCAGGGCACACAGAGCCAAGTCACAGCCCCAAGAGCGCACAGCACAATGGGCGGTGGTACGAGTGAGTGCATTGCCTTTACGAGGTAGTGAAGGGGGTGCTGGGAAAGACACAGAAGGTGTGTGTGGGGGACAGTCGGGTATGCTTCGTAAAGGATGTTGCTTCTAAAATGCACACAGAAGGACACGTAGGTTTGGTACGAGGTGGAGATGTAGGAGATGGCTTTCTAGGAGAGGCGTCTATACAAATAAAAGGGTAAAATGCAAATTGATCAGGAGGCCTCACAGTAAGGACTGAACAGCAGGCTGTGTGAGGCGACCAGACCGGCAGGGGGTGGTTAATGAGGGACAACCAAACACCGAACAGCAGGCTGTGAGGGATGACCAGGCTAGCATGGGGGAGGGGGGGCAGTGAGGGGCAACCAGGCCAGCAGAGGGGGCAGTTGGGGGCAACCAGGCTGGCAGAGGCAGGCAGTGAGGAGCGATCAGGTAGGCAGGCAGGTGAGTAGTTAGGATCCAGTGGTCCCAGATTGTGAGAGGGATCTCGGATTGGAGAGGGTACAGGCTGGGCTGAGAGGACCTCCCGTGCATGAATTTCTAGTAGTTTAATGAAAGCCCTGGACAGGGGAGAAAGCAGACTTCATTCCAAGCACTTACCCCCCCGCCCCCCGCATTATAAAATAACATATGCTCATTGTAAGGAATCTAAACAGTAGAGACCTCCACAAAGTGGAAAGAGCACGCCCCTCAGGTTTCCATGCCTACCTTTATCAGTCCAGCATGCAAAATACATTTTTAGTTGTGTTTGGAGTGCTGGCTTTCTCTAGTGCACCTGGGAGGAGAAAAAACTGGATGGGTTGATAGAGACCGGCTGGTGGGGAGTTCCTGGCCTGCCTTCCCATTGGGGCTTGTCCTGCAGGAAGAGGGTGTCCGTGAATGTCTGCGATGAGATGGGAGCTTGCAGGAAGCAGCCAAAACACCAGTGACAAGGACTCACCTGCACCACGTGGCCACGAGGGGCCACCTTTGCACACACATGTGGAGCCACCCCTACAAAGCTTCAGCCGGCCATTAGACTTTCCTTCCCTGAGGACTGTTAGGCACCTCTGCTCTGGACATTGATCTTGTCAGTTCCCTCCAGACCTCTCGGCTGGGACACAGGGTCCCTGGCTGTCCCAGAAACCACCTTCCCCATCTTCCCACCCACCCCAGGTCCTTGGGCATGAAGCTTCGCGGGCTGCTGGACCGGAAGGGCTCCTGGAAGAAGCTGGATGACATCCGGAACATCTTCTGGTGCCACAAGACCTTCACTTCAGGTGCGCAGGGCGAGCGGGAGATGCCCATCCTCTCCCGGTCCCGTGCTCAGGCCTGCAGGCCCCTCCCGGGGAGCACCTCCGGGGAGCACCTCCGGGGAGCACCTCCGGGGAGCACCTCTGGGGAGCACCTCCAGCGCTCCCAGAGGGATGGGGGCTCCAGGGGGAGGAGCTCGTGGTCGCACGGGTGGCGATCTCAGATTCCCCTCAGGACCCCACGCTTCTCCACTCCTCTGCCAGGGGACAAGAACGTGGGAGTGAGGACGGAGAGACACGTTGCTTGGCCTGGGAGAGGGTCAAGGGTCACTTAGGGAATCCGGATCCCGATTGGGAGCCCTCGCCTCTCTTGCTCTACCCCCACCAACACGAGTGCTGGGCTTTGGGGCCAGACGTAGGTGTAAAGCCCTATTATGCCACCCCACTGAGCAATTCACTCTATCTCTCTGACTCTCGGTGCCCGGTGTTAAATGAAGATGTGATTATACCTGTTTCATAGGGTTGCTGTCACGAAACCCTAAACCTTCGTGATGAGCAAAGGCCTGGGCAAGAGCAGGCTCTGGGGGAGCCGTTTCCAGACCAACCAGTTCCGCCCCGTCCTGCCCCTAGAGTACGTCACTGAGCACTGGTGTGAGGACTCCTTCTTCGGGTACCAGTTCCTGAATGGCGTCAACCCCGTCATGATCCACTGCATCCCCAGCTTGCCCAGCAAGCTGCCCGTCACCAACGACATGGTGGCCCCGCTGCTGGGGCCTGGCACCTGCCTGCAGACAGAGCTAGAGGTGGGTGAGTTGCCCCTGTGCACAAAGGGTGGGTGAAGGGTGAGGGTGAGACGGCCAGGAACCAGCATGGAGCACTCGGAGCTCTGAGGGTGTGGGAGAGGACGATGTCCAGTCTCTCCGGAGCAGCCAAGTCCTCGGGCATCCCCCAGAAGGCTGAGGTGTTTGCTGATTTTGCTTTTCTTGGATGCACGGAGGTCATCTCTCTGCATTAAAGTCGGAAGGACCAGGTATGGGGAGAAGGGAGAGGATGCGGGCTTGTCCAGGCTGGGAAGCCAGGTGAAAAGTTGCAAAAGGAGGGACTCTGCTGGACCTCACTCCGGACATTCTGGGGCGGAGGTGGGGGGTACCCAACATTGACCCCTGAGGCCAGAGGTGAGGTGGGAGTGGGCAGAGGACAGGGAGAAAGGGGGCGCGCGGGCGGGAAGTGTATTCTGAGGCTCTGTGCCCCTTCCTCAGAGGGGGAACATCTTCCTGGCCGACTACTGGATCCTGGCGGAGGCCCCGGTCCACTGCCTCAACGGCCGCCAGCAGTACGCGGCCGCCCCGCTCTGCCTGCTGTGGCTCAACCCGCAGGGGGCGCTCATGCCCTTGGCCATCCAGGTGAGCCGGGGGCGGGGCTTTGGGGGGTGGGGCCTCACGGGGCACACTAGGAGGCTTGAGTCTCACCCTCCCCATCCTCCCCCCCACCCCCGCTTCCCGTTGTTATTCCTGGACGCAGCTCAGCCAGACCCCCGGGCCGGAGAGCCCCATCTTTCTCCCCACGGACTCCGACTGGGACTGGCTGCTGGCCAAGACGTGGGTGCGCAACTCCGAGTTCCTGGTGCACGAGAACAACACGCACTTCTTGTGCACGCACCTGCTGTGCGAGGCCTTCGCCATGGCCACGCTGCGCCAGCTGCCGCTCTGCCACCCCGTCTACAAGGTCGGTGCAACCCCACACCCCCCGACCCCCGACCCCAAGCCGGGCCAGAGGGGTGGGCCCAGGCGCCTTCTCCCCTCAGCTCCCGTGACCGTCTTCCCTTTGCAGCTCCTGCTTCCCCACACCCGGTACACGCTGCAGGTGAACACCATCGCCCGCGCCACGCTGCTCAATCCGGAGGGCCTGGTGGACAAGGTGCGCCGCCGCCCCTGCCCGCCGCCTGCTCTGAGGCCCCGCCCCGGAAGACACTTTGCCCCGCCCACAAGCTCATTGGCCGTCCAATCTCATTCCATGGTTCCTGCCAGTCCCCGCCCACAAGACCCGCCCCTCCCCGCCAGGTTCCTGCTTGCCCCGCCCACACACCCAGTCTCCGCCCACTCATCCCACCCGCGGCCCCACCCCTTCAGACCAAGTTCCAAATGCTCTTGTAAGGTGACCAGATGGTCCCGCTTTGGGCGGGACAGTCCTGATTTCTAACAATTTTCCCCGCTGCCCGCGGCGTTTTTAAAAAGCCCCAATTTTTGGAAAGAATCTTTCCAATCTTTCAAAAAATCGGGACTTTTTAAAAAAGACTTTGAAGTGGGTAGGGTACCTCCCCGTCCCCGTCTAAGCACAGCCCCTTGCTTGCCTCCCTGCCTCTGTAGCAGCAGTTCATTCTTTTAGTTACTAAATACCTAAGGATGACCTCCTATGCACATAGTAGGGCTGCAACCTGCGCAGCCAATGTCGAGCCCCTAATGGAGGCTTTGATCCGTGGTCTTGGTCTGTTTGATTAACTGAAAAATCCCCTCTGCTGCGGCACTAGTCACATCTGGTGCCCAGACCCTGGGAGTGGGGAGTGGGTGGGGGGAAGGGGAGGGCCCGGGAGCTGAGCTGAGCTGAGCTGAGCTGTGATGTGTCCTCAGGTCACCTCCATCGGAAGGCAAGGCCTCCTCTACCTCATGAGCACGGGCCTGGCCCACTTCACCTACACCAATTTCTGCTTCCCGGACAGCCTGCGGGCCCGCGGGGTTTTGGCTATCCCCAACTATCACTACCGGGATGACGGCCTGAAGATCTGGGCCGCCATTGAGAGGTGTGGGCCTGGGACTCTGGAGCCAGTCTGGCCTCCCGCGGCCTCCTGGTCCGGGCGCGGTGTGGGTCTCCACGTTCCTGCAGGCTGGGGCGCTTGGTGCTGGGACTTCCAAGGGGCACTCCAAGGGTGAGAGGGGGTTGGGGTCCCCTATAGAATGGCTAACAGCCTTGCGCTGGGGAGAGGCTGGCTGTGTGTGCACACCGTGGAGGAAGGGAAGGACGGGGCGTCCAGAGAAGGTGAAACAGCCAGGCGTAGGCTGGGGCCTCTAGGCGGCAGGCCCTCCTGTCTCTTGGATGCTGAGTGGGGAGGGGATGCAGTGTGAGCTAGGCTCTCCTCTGTGTACCCTCCCCAGCTCTCTGTGCAGGAAGGAGGCCCAGAGCGCCCATGACTCAGGAGCGGAGGGCGAGACGTGAGGGAAGCCTGGGCACTCAGTTCCAGCTGCATCTGGTGGGGGTCTCTCCACCGAACCCCATGGGCTCTCAGTGGACTCTGACCAGCACTGGAGCCCGGTTTTCTGGTCAGGTCCGAGCCCAAGGTCACGGCCATGGCGTGGGCATCTTTTCCCTGCAGCTTTGTCTCAGAAATTGTGGGCTACTACTACCCCAGCGACGCGTCTGTGCAGCAGGATTCCGAACTGCAGGCCTGGGTCGGCGAGATTTTTGCTTGGGGGTTCCTGAACCGGGAAAGCTCAGGTACTGTGTTCCCTCTCCATCCCCCACCCACAGGCTCCCAATGACCCAATGCCCCCCTCCCCCCAGCCTCACCACTAACCAGTTCCTATTTACTGATCAACTGTTCAAGTACATCCTATTAGCCCCACTGAACAGATGAGGAAGAGGCACAGAGAAGGTTACACAATAAGTGGCAGAAGCAGGACCCAGAGCCAGCTCCTCTGGTCTGCCAAGCCCCTGCTTTCAACTACTACCCTGTACCCATCTGGTCCCTTCTAGACCTTTCCATGGGCCTGAGCCCACCTGTTCACTTCTCTTTGCTGAGCTGTATGGATGTGTCGCATCATGTAGGAGGAGTCATCTTTGGCTTCAAACACACAGGATTCTGGGAGCCACTCTCATACTCTCTCATGACTGTGCTGGTCCCTCCACCATCACCCTCTCTCACTTCCTTTGGCTTCAAAGCGTGAGTTGGTCCTGCTGCTGCCTAATCCCCCTTATTTACTCCAGTTACGTAACCCTAATGCCTCCCTCTCCTCTGACACCGCCCGAGAGGCCTCTGAGGCCCACCAACCCTCTCTAGGCCTCTGCTTAACCTCAGTCCAACTTAGCGCGCCCTCCCTTCCTCAGTCTCCCCTGAGCTCCTGGGAGAACAGGTCCTTCTGAACCTCCCGCTTCTCCCCAGGTCCCCACTGCTGGCGTGCCCTGGATCTGTCTCCTCTCTCTGCCCCGCCCTCACTGACTGATCTTGTCTCCTGTCCCTCCTGTGGCTGATTCCAGGCTTGGGCATCCTCCACTCTGCATCTCCTGAAGGACTTCCCTTCTCGGCTCTTTCGTTGTCACTCTTGAGACCCAAACATGAAATGAGGTCATTCCAAAGGATTTCTGGCCTCTCTGGGTGGTACACCCCATTGCTACTCTTCAAAGCCCGTTTCCTTGGTGCCGCTGTATTATGGTCTGTACGGTGGGCACTGGGAAATGTAGAGGAGACTGCTACCTCTGGGTGTGGTGGAGAAAGGCACAGATGCCCGTCTTCCAGGCCCCCCCGGCCCTGGCCTGAGATGCATTTGTTTGTTTTGACTCTGAAGTGTCTTAATTTAGAACAGCACTCCCCTCCTTTTTAATAAAATCACAGGGCACCGGACAAAGACTATTGAAAACGCCAGAAGCAGTTTTGCACAGTGTCTGACCTTCTGAATTTATCACGTTGCTTTCTCATGCTGTCATTCAGCTTGTTTCTCTCTGGCCCCTGTAAACTACGGGTTAGCTATTTTTTGGCCAGAATATTTCTCAGGTGATGCTGTGGTCTCCTCGTTGCATCATCTTGGGAGGCACATAATGTCAGGTTGTCTCACATAAGTGCTGCCCAGGGTGACTTCTGAGTAAAGGCACTGACAGCCAGATTGCCTTTGGATCTTTTAAAGGGCGACTCCGCCCGAGCTTTGCTGTCAATCCTGGGCGGTCCTGATTCGCATTGCTGCTCTTCCCGAAGGCAGTTTCTCTTTGGGATGATCCAATTCCTCTTTAAGACCCAGAGGGGGATATCCTTACTGTTAGCTCAGCTCTCCTCTCTCGCTTTATTAAACTCTCTGATTTAACACATCAGAACATTCTTCAGACTGACAGACAGCTTCCCGACAAACTTACTCTAGATTCATATGCTTTAAGGTAAAAGGCGCATTCATTAACCTCAGTCAGTATGCCTTTTGTTCCAAAGTTCAGGGGGTGGGGGGGGATAAACAGTATGAGCCGAGAAAAATTCCCATGGATAATCTGACTGCTTCACTTAAAAAGAAATTTTTTTTCAAGTTATTTTTTTTAATATATATTTTATTGATTTTTTACAGAGAGGAAGGGAGAGAGATAGAAAGTTAGAAACATCGATATGATAGAGTTATCGATCAGCTGCCTCTTGCACACCCCCTACTGGGGATATGCCCGCAACCAAGGTACATGCCCTTGACCGGAATTGAATCCGGGACCCTTCAGTCCCCAAGCTGACGCTCTATCCATTGAGCCAAACCGGTCTCAGATAAAAAGAAATTTAAAAAAAAAAATAAAAAAAAAAAAATATATATATATATATATATATATAATTACAGAGAGGAAGGGAGAGAGATAGAGAGCTAGAAACATCGATGAGAGAGAAACATCGACCAGCTGCTGTACACCCCCCACCGGGGATGTGCCTGTAACCAATGGACATGCTCCTGACCGGAATCGAACCTGGACCTTTCAGTCTGCAGGCCGACGCTCTACCACTGAGCCAAACCGGTTTCGGCTAAAAAGAAATGTTTTATTGTTTTTTTTACAGAGAGGAAGAGAGAGAGATAGGGAGAAACATTGATCAGCTGCCTCCTGCACACCCCCTACTGGGGATGTGCCTACAACCAAGGTACATGCCCTTGACCAGAATTGAACCTGGGACCTTTCAGTCTGCAGGCTGACGCTCTATCCACTGAGCCAAACCGGTTTCGGCTACTTTTATTTTTATTTATTTATATATTTTTTCAATATATTTTATTGATTTTTCACAGAGAGGAAAGAGCTAGAAACATCGATGAGAGAGAATCATCGATCAGCTGCTACTTGCACACCCTTTACTGGGGATGTACCCCCAACCAAGGCACATGCCCTTGGCCGGAATCAAGCCTGGGACCCTTCAGTCCATAGGCCGATGCTCTATTCATTGAGCCAAACTGGTTTCGGCTACTTTAATTTTTTTAACAGCTTTATTTTTTTTTTATCTTCAGCCCTCAGGGTTAGACTTTCAGCCACAAAATGAACATTCAGAAAATGCCCACACATCCCCAGGCAGATCGCCAGGCCTTCTTCCAAACCTCTCTGTCTGCTCTGTTGCATGAGTCTCTCTCCAGTCATCCTGACTCCAAACCCAGGATCCATCTTTGACTCACGTTCCCCTCTGCCTTTCTCGTCACCTCAATCCAGTTGGGTAGCTACCCCTACTGTCGCCATCATTTCCCACCGTCCCCACCCTAGAACCAATCCTCGCATTGTTCCTGCATTGTGGCGGCTGCTTCTCAGCCAGTGCCACTCTCCCAGCCTTTTCATGCTTGCCTGCCAAGCCTGTGGGGCGCCTCCCCGCTAATCCTCTGAAATGGTGCCCAGAATCCAGCTGGCCTGGCACCCTGCTGCAGCCTCACCCCCAGTCACCCTTCACCTGGCTTACACTCCATTCCTTTCCACTCCGGCTTCTTACCCTCTCGTGTACTCACTTCATTCAACCAGTCATTACTGGGCTGCTGATATGCATTCATTATTATTCTAAATGCTGGGGTTCAGCTGTGAACATGACAGACAAAAGCCCCAGCCTTCATAGAGCTTAACATTCTTGTGGGGAGACACAGATAACAAAACATATGGTTACGAATGGTAAGAAGAATGAAACAGCATCTGAAATCACTTGTGTGTCGAGGTGGGGGGTTAAGTTTGAATCGGCGGTCAGGGAAGGCTTCCCTAAGGAGGTGATGTTTGTGTAGGGATGTGAGGAAGCGAGAGAGCTGGCTCGGGGGAGAGTGTGTGAGCAGAGGTGGGAGGATAAGGCCCTGAGGTGGGAGCATGCTGGGAGTTTTGAGGAATCCAAGGAAGGCCTGCATGGCTGGAGTAAGTGAGAGGGAGAAAAGTTGGGAAGGAACTGAAGTCCGAGAACAAGCCAGAGCCAGATCAGGTCAGATCACGGTGAGGTAAGTGATGTGGGAAGCCGGTAGAGGGTTTTGACCAGTAGTGACATCACTGAACCTAGGATTCTAAAGGGTCACTTACCCTAGCAGGCAGGGGTCATGGTAGAAGCTGATAGATTCATCCAGGATGAGAGGATGGGTACTGGGTAGTGGTGGAGACAAGGTGATGAGACAAAATTGGCTTCTGGAAGTATCGCTGACATGTGTGGGGTGAGCTAAAAAGAGTCAGTGTGCAGGACAAAGGGTATCCCAATGGGATGACTGTAGGGAGGACAGGTTTGGGGGGTGGGGTGTAGGGCAGGGAGTCAAGCATTTGGTGTACAGATGGAAAGTCTGAGTCTAGGGTCCAGGGGCCCGGGGGAGCAGCCAGAGATGTGAACTTAGAGGCTGTCAGCCCCTGGGAGGTGGTTAAGCCAAGGCCTTGGATAAGAGCAGGGAAGTATGGAGAGAAGAGAGCCAAGGGCTGGAATGCCTCCTCGGTCTTCTTTCTATTCAGCTCACCCGCTCCCTCAGGGAGGCTCTTCCCCAGTGATGTGGCCCCTGTGCCTTGCCTGCCTGCCCTCTCTTTAAAGAGCCAAGCTCTGGCCTGTGAGCTTCCTTCTGCTTCCATCACTGTGAGCTTGTGAGCCGCACATTCTAAGCCCAGTAGCAGATGACCTGCCACTGGGAGCTTACTTGGACAAATCTTAGTGAACTGGGTAGACTTAAATCATGAAGTGCTAGTACAGGCTGCAGGCAGAGCTGCCTTGGTGGTCTGCTTGAACCTGGCTGCTCTGCTGTGCGCTCTGCTGGCTGGGCATTTTCTGGTCTGACCCCAGGACCCAGCTCCTGTCCTGACCCCCTTCAGAGACCACAAGACCATCCCTAACCTCATCCTAATCCTAATCCTACTCTAACAGTGGTGGCCAAATGTTCAGCCCTCACTTTCTTTTTTTTTCTTTTTTCTTTTTTTAATATATTTTACTGATTTTGTACAGAGAGGAAGGGAGAGAGATAGAGAGTTAGAAACATCGATGAGAGAAAGTCATCGATCAGCTGCCTCTTGCACACCCCCTACTGGGGATATGCCCGCAACCAAGGTACATGCCCTTGACCGGAATCGAACCAGGGACCCTTCAGTCCCCAAGCCGACACTCTATCCATTGAGCCAAACCGGTCCCGGCAGCCCTCACTTTCTTACTCTCCCCCTGCGCCGAGCCCCAGCCCTGAGCTGCCCCTAGGAATCCAGTCCCCTCCACACCCTCTTCCCTCCCTCCTTCCCTCCCATACCCAGGCTTCCCATGCCGGCTGCGCACCCCACAAAAGCTGCAGAAGTTCCTCACAGCCATCATCTTCAACTGTTCCGCCCAGCACGCCGCTGTCAACAGTGGGCAGGTGAGGCTGCAGAGGGCAGGCCAGGGGCGATTTGGCCAGGAAAGGTTAGGCTCAGCAATGCACCCGAGGCCGGAGTTCCCGATGAGAGCATGAGTGGGATGAGCTTATTATTAGGGATGGGGTTGGAGTGGGGACTGGGTGGAGTGAAGGATGGGTGTTGGATGATGACTGGGGTGGAGCTGGGTCCAAGGCTACGATGTTGACCTGAGTTGGTGTTGCACAGGGAGCAGAACGCAAGGACTTCTGTCATGGTTGGGATGCAGGCAAGTGGAGTTTCAGGTTGCTGCGTTTGGCATGCCAGCCCCAGGCCCATTTCTAGGGTTACCTCCTCTCTGAGTCCTCCTTGTTCCTTGGTGATTCACTCCACCCAGTCCTGGGACATTGGGTGGGGAGTAACAAGGGCTGAGGCAGACTCCTGCCTCACTTCTGGAACTTTCTGTTCTATGCCACTCCCTCTCCACAATCCCTCATTTCCCAAGTGCAAGACCTGGGATGGTAGGAGGCAGGATCAGGAATTACGACAAAGAAGCTGGTCCTCTCCCTCTGGCCAGCTGACTCACTTGGGGCGGGGGTCTCCACAGCATGACTTCGGGGCCTGGATGCCCAACGCTCCGTCATCTATGAGGCAGCCCCCACCGCAGACCAAGGGGACGACCACCCTGAAGAGTTACCTGGAGACCCTCCCAGAAGTGAACATCACCTGTAGCAACCTCCTCCTCTTCTGGCTGGTCAGCCAAGAGCCCAAGGACCAGGTGTGTGTGACAGGTGTTTTTCGGTGGTGGGGAGAGGTTTGCAGGGCCTGAGCAGTGGAGGGGATGGTAGACTGTTCCAGAGGGACTCGGGGAATGACTGCTGGCATTTATGTCCACTACCGAACGGCCTTGGGTTCTTTAGTTCCTTCAGGAAGTTTTAGTTGATCCCAAGAGACATATAGTGAAGCAAACACCTATTAGTGGCTGGGATACAATATCCATCCAATTCACCAGTTTACCAGACCATCCATCCATCCATCCAACCACGTATTCTTCCATCCACCAGCCATTCATCTATCAACCACTCATCCATTCATCAAACATTCAACACACATTTTTTGAATACCTCTCATGTGTCAACACCGTGTTGGGCATCAGGCATATCAAGATGAGTCAGACCTTCCTGCCTCCAAGAATGCTACTGTCTAGCTCAAAATAAATGAAAAAGGTGTTGTAGGAACTACTTAGGTATAATTCCTCCATTTGAACACGTACTTCTTGAGTGCCTGCAAGGTGCCAGACACCGTTGGGCAGATAGGAAACCAGTCCTTATGGGCTTGCTAGAGTTTAATGGTAGAGGTGAAGACAGGGCCCTGGGGAACCTGACTGAGGCTGGGTGAACCCAGGGAGGCTTCTTGGAGGAAGGGACATCTAAGCTGAAATCTGTGAGACAAGCAGGAATTTGGCAGACAAAGCAGGGGCAGGTCAATTTCTAGGCAGAGGGAAGGATGAGACCAAGTGAAATGAAGGGAAGTGAAGGCAAGAGTTCCTTTGTGTGTCATGAGGATCCTAACAGGTACAGTGTAGGCTCAGTATCCATTCAGAATACAATGGGGAGATACCGAAGAGACTTAAGACTGGAGTAACGTGGCTGAATTTGTGCTTTAGCAAGAGCGCTTCTGTGCTGCGTAGACAGGTGGGAAGGGCTATTTTGGAGGCGGGAATGGCAGGGAGGAGGCTGTTGCTTAGGCCAGGTTTTATATAGGGAGCAGCCCTTTAATCGCCAATTACCATCATCTTCATTTGCACGTTATCAGTCATGCCTCTGCCCTCCTGGCCTTGTTCACAAATCCTCTGACATTACAAGATTACCCTCATTTATCATGCTTTATCTCCTTAACAAGTTTTTTTTTAAAATATATTTTATTGAGTTTTTACAGAGAGGAAGGGAGAGGGATAGAAAGCTAGAAACATCGATCAGCTGCCTCCTTTAATCCCCCCTCCCCCCAATGGGGATGTGCCCACAACCAAAGTACATGCCCTTAACCAGAATGGAACCCGAGACCTTTCAGGCCGCAGACCGACGCTCTATCCACTGAGCCAAACCGGTTTTGGTTTAACAAGTTTTAACGTAACCATCTTATAGCCTTGGAATGCCAGAAACTCCTCCCTGGATCCTGATCCTTTCTGGTCCCACCTCCCAAGGATTCCAAGACTTTCGTTTCTGTCATTATAAAAGAAAAACTCTCTCTTACTTTTTGTCTACTCACAGAATACTCTGTGATACTCTCAATCTCTCACTCAATACTTCTGGCCACCAAATGCATGGGATTGTTCTCACACCAAGCAATTCTCAGATACTAGCGACATGTCCTGTGATTTAGCTCACTTCTGACCCTCCCTGGACACAGTGTCAGATCCCTTAGGTCAAGGGCTCAGTCCCACAAGACTGCCCCTGCCCCCCACCAGGTGCCCATTGCCCATCAAAAGTCCAGGTTGTCAACTGTGTTTCTGACCAAACTACTATTCATCAGAGGTTTCTACAGTCCCCTCCTCAGGCTCATTAATTTCCTGGAGCAGCTCCCAGAACTCAGGAAAAACAGTTTACTAGATTACTGGTTGATTATAAGAGGCTACAACTCAGGAACTACCAGATGGAGGAAATGCACAGGACCAGGCATGTGGGAAGGTGCGGGGCCTTCCTGCTCTCTGGGATGCCACCCTCCCAGTGTCTCCATGCTCCCCCAGCCTGGAGGCTCTCCAAACCCGCCTTTTAGGGATTTGGATGAAGGCTTTATTACTCAGGAATAATTGATTAAATTATTAGCCACGGGAGACTAATTTAATCACCAGCACCTCTCCCCTCCCCAGAGGTTGGACTAAAAGTTTCAAGTCTCTAATCAATTGGTTGATTCCCATGGTAGCCCATCCATAGGGGCTTTCCAGAAGTCACCTCATTAACATAAACCGAGGTAGGGTTGAAAGGGGCTTATTTTGAATAACAAAAGATACCTTAGCACTCTATCATGAAGTTATAAGGGTTTTAGAAGCTCTGTGCCAATGGGAGGAAGACCAAATATTTTTCTTTCTTTCTTTCTTTCTTTCTTTCTTTCTTTCTTTCTTTCTTTCTTTCTTTCTTTCTTTCTTTCTTTCTTTCTTTTTATGTTTCGTTTAATTTAGAGAGAGAGATAGAGGGAGTGGGAGAGAGGAACATGAATCAGCTGCCTCCTGCATGACACCTTGGCCAGGAATCTAACTGGTAACTTTTTGGTTCATGAGATGATACTCAACCAACTGAGCCACTCCAGCCAGGCAAAAATCATACTCTTATAAGTCACAATATAGAGGGATGAGGGATAAGTAGGTAAGAGGGTGAGGGCGAAGGATTCCCTGCCCATGAAACAATGGGGAGTTTAACCTGGACAATTCTAACATTTACCCCAATAATAGCAGCTAACTCTTGAGGACCTATTATATCTTAATCATTAAATTAGATACCATATGTCCACCATCTAAAAAAATATTTTTTATTGATTTTTTTTACAGAGAGAAAGAGAGAGGGACAGAGAGTTAGAAACATCAATGTGAGAGAAACATCAATCAGCTGCCTCCTGCACACCTCCCAGAATCAAGGTACATGCCCTTGACGGGAATCGAACCTAGGACTTTTCAGTCTACAGGCCGACACTCTATCCCACTGAGCCAAACCAGTTAAGGAATACACCATTTTAATATACAAAATAAATAAGTAGCTATATTTAAAATGCTTAATACAGTGCATCGTATATAACTGTTCAGGAAACGGTAGTTCCATTTTATTTTTTTAAATATATATTTTATTGATTTTAGAGAGGAAGGGAGAGGGCTAGAGAGATAGAAACATCAATGATGAGAGAAAAATCATTGATTGGCTGCCTCCAGCACACCCCACACTGGGGATTGAGCCTGCAACCTGGTCATATGCCCTGACCAGGAACTGAACCGTGACCTCCTGGTTCATAGGTCAATGATCAATCACTGAGCCACACTGGCCGGACAGTAGTTCCATTTTATGAAGAGAAAATTGAGATGTAGAGACACCAAGCAATTTGTCCAAGGTCACACAGCGAGTAAAAGGACTTTGAACCCAGTCTCCCATACTTCTGTGTTCTGCTTTTTAAACAGCTAAATTATAGTTTTAGAAATTAGATGTCAATTTAGTAAATAAGACATAAAATTGATTCTTTGAAAGGACCAATAAAAGTAAGAAAGCAGAAACAATTCTAATGAAGACAAAAAAGAAAGAATATAAATGTACAACATTAAGAATGGGAAAGGCATTCAGCTACAAATACAGAGGATACTGAAGAAATTAGAAAATTCTAATGATAGTTTTATGCAAATAATGTGGACATCTAGATGAAGTAAATAATTTCCTAGGAAAACATAAACAAAACGTAATACCAGAAAACTATTCATAAATGAAAAGCTCTGAACCCCGTCCTTGCAAAGCAAGATTCTAATAAACCTTCAAAAAACAAGTAATTCCTAAATTACTCAAACTGCTTGAAGGTATAGAAAAAGTTGAAAGTTATAGAAAAAGTTGAAAGTTTCCAAAATTACTTTACTGAGTTCTGTTTTACTGGGGACCCTGGTACCAGCACCTGCAGAGGCAGTGCTCCTGAGGAGAGAGGTGGGCTCTGGCTGGCTGGCGTAGCTCAGTTGGTTAGGCGTCGTCCCATGCATGGAAAAGTTTCAGGTTCAATTTCCCAGTTTTGCTCTCACACTGGTGTTTCCCTCTCTCTCCCTCTCCCTTACTGTCTCTCTTAAAAAAAAAAAATAGTAAACTATTCTTAAAAAAAAAAAAAAAAAGAAGAAAGAAGAAGAAGAAGAAGACAGGTAGACATCACTGATCTACACTTCCCCCCTATGTGTTCTTGGCTATATAATTGGGCATCTCCAAACCTCAGTTTCTTCCTCTCCTTCCTTCCTTCCTTCCTTCCTTCCTTCCTTCCTTCCTTCCTTCCTTCCTTCCTTCCTTTCTTCTTTCCTTCTCCTTTTCATTGAGTTTATTGTGGTGACACTGGTTAATAAAATTATACAGGTTTCAGGTGCTCAATGCCACACACATCACCTGTACACTGTACTGTGCTCACCACCCCAAGCCAAGCCTCCTTCCATCACCAGGTATCCCCCTTCCGTCCTCCACTTCTCTATAAAATGATGATGATAAGAGGGCCTGTCTAACAGGATGATTGTGCCATTGTGATGGTTCATATAAAGTGCTTACAACATGTTAGCTGTAATTAAGAAAATGAAATTATAAACTTGTTCCACTTAGCTGCAACAATCTTAAAAATATATCATTAGCCAATGAAGGCCAATAATACACAATAGAACAATAATACAGCATGACGAAGTCTAGTGTATTCTAGGGATGAAAGATTGGCTCAACCTTATGAAATCTGACAATATAATTTTTTCATCAATGAAGAAACTTACCATATAATCATCTCAATATGGGCCAAAAAAGCATTTGGTAAGTGTGAGCAGCCATTTACTAATAAAAACTCATGTAAAATGAAACGCCCTGATGCAGTTTTGATAAAATATATATATCTTTTAGAAAACAAAAACATCATCCTTAATGTATAACAATTGAGGTCTCCTAACTAAAGTCAGGGACAATGAAACAGTGCTCACTGTTACTGCTGCAGTTTAGCACTGTTCTGGAAGATTTACCAGCGTGATAAAACAAGACAAAGATTGTTTAAAAATCAGTGCTATTGGCGAAGGTTATGTTGTTGAAGGTTGTATTGGACAAGAAGTGTGTTCTATTTAGGATGAGGAGCCCATGAACTATGATGGTGAGCTGGTTGGGTGTGTGGTCATGGAGAGAGGGGCAGCCCTGTACTGCCACGGGATGCCACTGACTGAAGTTTATTGTAGTATTTTTTTAAATAAATTTTTATTGTTTTCTAAAAAACTATTTTTATTGATTTCAGAGAGAAAGGGAGAGGGAGAGAAAGATAGAAACATCAATGATGAGAGAGAATCACTGAGAGGCTGCCTCCTGTAAACCCCCTAGTGGGGACTGAGCCCGCAACCCAGGCATGTGCTCTTGACAGGACTCAAACCCGGGACCCTTCAATCCGCAGGCTGATGCTCTGTCCACTGAGCCAAACCGGCCAGGCCCGCCATACTTCTTGATTGCAGTTGGCCATGCTGTGTAGTGTGACAGTGTACGGTGATGGTGATTGTGTTGGCGAAAGCTCCATGATGTTGGGTGGTTGGGAAGATACCTCAGGCCTGGTTGTCTTCAGGGTCTGGATTTTGTTCAGTTGTGAGGTAACAGGTGTACAATAGGCACGTTGGCTGGAGCGTGTGTGCTTGGCTTGCGGTTGAGTTGTGAGTGTGGTTGTGTTCTTTCCACAGGACATCGGCCCAGGCACCTCTACAGGTTTTCTCGTCCAGTGGTTGGCAAACTCATTAGTCCACAGAGCCAAATATCAACAGTACAATCATTGAAATGTCTTTTGAGAGCCAAACTTTTTAAACTTAAACTTCTTCTAACACCAATTCTTCAAAATAGAGCCGCCCGGGCCGTGGTGTTTTGTGGAAGAGCCACACTCAACGGGCCAAAGAGCCGCAGTGTGTAGAGCACTGTTCTAGTCCAGTCCATCCATTTTCAGATGCAGAAACAGAGTCAGGGGAATAGGCACAGAGGTACCAGCAGAGGGCGCACTGCCTCTAGGTTGGCTGCTCCCAGGTCCCTCCCCTTCAGGCTCCACACTCCCTGCGCCGTGAGCGTCAGTGTCCGGCTGCTCTGCTTGGTGCCAGTGCCGGTGCCCGTGGTTGCGGGGAGTGGAGGTTGCGGGATGTGGTTTGAAGATCTTGAGTTTGCAAAAGCTGTGCCTAGTTCATGCCCTGGAAGCCACCTTGCCTGTGTTGGTTGGCAAATGTGGTCCTTCATTATCCTCCATGCTGCCCTGAGCATCACCCTGACCCGCCCCTGGTTCTCTCCCAGCGGCCCTTGGGCACCTACCCGGATGAGCACTTCACCGAGGAGGCCCCGCGCCGGAGCATCGCCGCTTTCCAGAGCCGCCTGGCCCAGATCTCCCAGGACATCCGGGAGCGAAACAAAGGCCTGGTTCTGCCCTACGCCTACCTGGACCCTCCCCTCATTGAGAACAGCGTCTCCATCTAATCCCCTCCGCCTCCCGCCCTGGAAGAAAGGCCGAGCAGGAGGAGGGCCAGCTTCTCCTCGTCCTCCAGGCTCTTTCCTCCTCCCTGCTCGCCATCAGCCTGAGACTTCTCCTCGCAGGTGGGGCCTTTTCCACCGAGTTGGCCCTAGCATCATGGGAACCGGCTCCGAGCTGTCTCCAGGGTGAGAAGCTGCTGGTTAAAGTCAAATGTACAACAGACCCTCAAAGGAAGGAGCCCCGTCACCCCCTGCCCTCCTGTGGGCAGCCTCCTACGTCCCTCTCCTGTCAACATCTACCTCCTCCCATTGGGATCCCCAGTGTGGGATTGTAAGCTCTCCTTCCCAGCCCCCCCGCCATCCCAGAACTTCCTCCTACCTGGCCTCTTTGTTTCCACTTTCCTCTAAATCTGGGACCAACCAATCCAACCCTTTCTCTGGAAGAGCATGGAAGCTGGGCGGGAAGGGCTGTGTGCCTCAGGCCGGCCATAGGGACCCCTCGGACCCCAGCCTGTCTCAGGGGAGGGTTAGAATTAGAGCCCAGCTCGCCGGGCTCTGGCTGTGGTTCTCTCAGGGCCACGCTCCACAGCCTGGATGTGTACGGAGTCTCTCCCAGCTCTCATTTTCCCATTGCCACCCTCCTCCTTTTGTTTGTCCTTGAGCCCAGTGAACTCAATAAAAACCAACATATTGGACTCCCATTTCACTTTTGTTTTGATGTGTGTGTGTGTGTGTGTGTGTGTGTGTGTGTGCGCGCGCGCGCGCGCGCGTATATCGGTGGGTGGGAATTGGAGAAGGATGGAGCGGCTCTGAGTCCCTGGATCATCTGTTCTGGAGACAGGAAACCTCCCAGTTCAATCCACCACCTAACCAGTCCCTCCATTCCTGCCTTCACCTCCCTGAGCACGCCATCCATCAGGAAGTGAAGGAATCTCCACACTCTAGGAGCTGATAGGAAAAACGTAGGCATTTTGCAAAGCCTGAGGATCCAGCTTCTGGGTGTGGGAGCTATTAGTGTTGCCGCTGAGATCTGGTTTCTCTTGTGGACTCACGCACGGGGAGACTCAACTTCTAGCTTTTTTTGTGGATGAGTGGAGTCATGGAGGAGTTTTGGCCAATGAGCTGTGAGCAGAGTGATTCAGGTCATCTGCAGGCTGGAACATTTATTACTGGCATGAGTCTCTCCCGCTCCCCCTGCCCACCCAAGTTCTCTTTGCTTTGTCTCTGCTATCCTAGAAGCATGTGTTGAGATGGCATTTCCATCAGCTTCTGCCTCTAAGGGCCTAGAGCAGACCCCTCTGCTGACCTGAGTTGGACATGATGCTGAGAGAGAAATAAACTTTTGTTGGGTTAAGCCATTGAGATTTCAGGCTTGTTTGTTGCTGCAGCATAAGCTAGCCCATCCTGACTGAAACAGATGGCAATCTAGGGAGTCTGATGTTCTCCCTTCTGTTGCCCTTAAAAACAGATATTCGTATCTTTCTCCATAGCCGCTCAACACCTTCCTGTTCCTGCTTCCCTGGACCTCAGATCCTGCCCCCTTTACCTACTCTGCTCCTTGAGTCAAATTCTGCGCCTAATCAAAGCCTGCTCATGGCTTCTCTCTGCTCAGAGGCACGGTGCAGGGAGTGGAAGAGGTGAGGGGAAAGAGCGTGTGTGTGTGTGTGCATCTTTGGCTGTGGCAAAGGTCAGGTTTTCACATCTTGCACCTGAGATCCTGGGAGATGATGATCCCGATGTCATTGTGCATGAAGAAGTATGTGTGGGGCTAGCTCACTTGCAGATTGCAACCTGAGAATTTAGTAAAAATCACCAGATTTTGTCCATTTTGGAACAAAATCATAGGACTAAGACGTATCCAGAGGTGTCCCTTGTGGCCAGCGAGACTGTGGCAGAGGCTAGATATGCCCCCCCCCCACCTGGGCTTTCACTTTATTCAGCAGGGCCGGCCAGGATACGGAGTCCAGGATACGCTGGATGGGGGGTCAGGGCACACTCAGGCAGCTTGTCCCTCCAGGATGAACACTCCTCGGCCTGCACCGAAGTTGGAGTGAGGCATGCCCATCCTGAAAATGCCCCTGGGCCAGAGAGGGAGGGAGCAGGGCGGATCTCTAGAATCTGATTTTCCCGAAAACCAGTTTGGAGGGAGATTTGCTGAGGAGACGCAGCCAGCTGCACGTAGGATTCTGCCCGGGCTCTGGGCATCTCTGGGGAGGGGGCTCATGTAAAAAGTTCCAGTCCTGACAGATAGGAAGCTTCCTCCAGTTTGCCCTCTGGACCCTTCTATGCCTTGTGGTCAGTCTGAAAGGTGACTGTACAGTGAGGAGCCCAGCAGACCTTTTTTCCCAGCAGGCCTTGAGCGAGGCCTTCAGCCTCGGTGGGCCAAATAATGTCAGAAATGGGAGGGACAAGAAGTCTTGGAAAGTCCCTCCAGCATTGACATTCTAGGATCTGCTTGCCTCATGGCTCCTGTCTCCCTAGACACTGTTTTTATTTTTATTTATTTATTTATTTATTTATTATTTTGTGTGTTTTAATATATTTTATTGATTTTTTACAGAGAGGAAGGGAGAAGGATAGAGAGCCAGAAACATCAATGACACCCCCCCACCGGGGATGTGCCCACAACCAAGGTACATGCCCTTGACCGGAATCGAACCCAGGACCTTTCAGTCCGCAGGCTGACGCTCTAGCCACTGAGCCAAACCGGTTTCAGCCCTAGATACTGTTTGAGACACTGGGGAAGCAGCTGTCAACTCCCCTGGTACCATCTACTTCTACTGGCGTACAGGGAAACAGACAGCAAACGCATAAATCATCAGACACGCAAACAAGCCCTGTCAGATGGCTGGAGTGTAGTCAGGAGATAAAACCAGGTGGGGTGTGAGCCTGCCCGGAGGTGGTGAGTGGGGGAAACATTAGGTCTGGTGGTCAGGGAAGGCCACTCTGAGGAGTGGCAGCTGAGTTGAGATCTGGATGAGAAGAACAAAACACTCGGGACAGCTTGGGGGACAGGTGTTACAGGCCAGAGACAGGTCAAGTGCTGGGGCCCTGAAGGGCATGTGTTTGTGGAATGAGGAGAAAGCCAGAGGGGCTGGAATAAGGTGACTGAACACCTAAGCTCAGGGGAGTTTTAAGCAGAGAAGTGACCCAATTTGACTTTTGTCTCTGTGTCTTAGGGGTGTGGGGTCCTCAGGGTTGCTCCCTGCCTTGCAGGGTTAGAGGTGGGGCAGGATGGGGAGAGGGGTGCCCCGGCAGTGAAGACTGGGCTTCCTGTGTGGGTGGCCCACTGTGAGCTGGCCTTGCAAGCTTACATCCTTCCCAGAGGCCTCTCCTGCTCCCTGGGTCCACCCCAGTCCAGGAGAACCAGTTCTTCAGCCCAATGAGCACCTACCCAGAGTCATGCGTCCACGTTTTGGTCGTAACTGGGGAGTGCCCCAGTGACATCCTCATGCCTAATCCCGTCCACGTCCCCAGCTACTGTCCCATCCCTGTCATCCCCACTTCCATCTCTGTTCCCCTCAGGAACTTAAACCCCACTCCAGACTTCAGCAGCCTCACTCCTGCTTTGTCAGGAGAGAACGAGTGGCTGAGGGGAGACCTCTTGAGAGTGGGCTATGACCGAGGAGGCAGGCTTTGGGGCATGGGGGCAGAACCCTACCATTTGTGCTGATACCCAAACGCTTCTACACCAAACTCTTCTACTCCCTTCCCTGTTCGCCAAGGTCTCCTCCTGCTCTACCTTCCTGCCACCCTCCCCCCTCTGAATGATTTTCCCACTCGGTCAGAGGATTAAGGCTGGGACTCTCACCCCTGTGTCCCAGAGGAACCTGGAGGTGCAGTTTCCCAAGTCCCCGAGCCAAAGTTACCACTTCACCCCACCCTGCCTCTCACCAAACCTTAGCAGCCCCCTGGGGACACAGTCTCCAGGGGAGAGGAGTGGCTAGAAGGATGGAGGCTGGGAGAGGTTGCAGGAATTTGCATCTTAAGATGCAAATTTGCATCAACAGGCTTCTAGCATTCCCCAAGAGTCACGGGTTAGCTGAGAGGGCGGGCCTGACCTGCCTGACAGCTCCTGTTCTCAGTGGGGACAGGATGGTGCCAGGAGGATGAGACAGCTCTGCCAGTCACCCAGGGCGGGGGCATGACCTTCATCTTCAGCCCTCTCCCGCATCCTGTCTCCATCTCTTTAACTCATTCCACAATTGCCCCCCTACCTCTCCTTACCCCTCACCTCATCATAACCCCAATCTACCTCAGTTCTCTGAATCTTCATCTTAATTCCAACCCTATTGTTGATTCTTTTCCTAATCTTGACCTTGTTCTTATCACTAACCCATCCAACCATTAAGAATTATGTTTTGGCTGAAACCGGTTTGGCTCAGTGGATAGAGCATCGGTCTGCGGACTGAAAGGTCCCAGGTTCAATTCAGGTCAAGGGCATGTACCTTGGGTTGGGGGTACATCCCCAATGGGGGGTGTGCAGGAGGCAGCTGGTCGATGATTCTCATCAATGTTTCTGGCTATCTATCTCTTTCCCTTCCTCACTGTGAAAAATCAAATTAAAAAAAAAAAAAGAATTATGTTTTGCCTTGGTCAGTGGTTAGAGTGTCAGCCCACATACTGAAGGATCACAGGTTCGATTCCTGGTCAAGGGCACATAGCTAGGCTACCGATTTTATCCCAAGCAATCAATCAATATGACTCACATCGATGTTTCTATCTTTCTCTCTTTCCCCTTCTTTCTCTCTAAATATCAATGGAAAATATCCTCGGGTAAGGATTAATAATAATAATAATAAATAATAATAATAAGGGAATTCTGTTTCAAAAGTCTCCAAGGTGTCAGGTATTGTGCCTGGAGTGGGGGAGAAAAGCAAAGCAAATGACAGTTTAATCTTTTGGAGAAGTCAGACATTAATAAAAAAAAAAATGTTAACTACCTTCTGGTTGGGTGGGCTTAGGGGCTGAGCATTGACCTCTGAACCAGGAAGTCACAGAGTGAG